GATGTTCATTTCTGAATTTAGACCTCATCAGCCAGTCATACCCAATGCCACATTGTACAGTAACCGACTCGAACCGGCGACCTGTTTATTAGAAGTTCAAGGCTGTAACAATTGAGTTATGGGCTCGTAGGTAAGGAATAATGATACTGAGGAGTGGACGCTTACTGATTATTTGCGGGACAGACTCGTTCCGTTTTGTCTAGAGCCTCGCTAGCAGTCAAATAGCGGCTAGTATCGTGGGAAGTTATCTTCATTGATTTCACCGAGGTGTTTGATCGCGTTCCACAGCAGCCCCACATCCGAAAGCTGCCCGAATTTAGGGTAACAGGCGATCTGCTGAATTGGATTGTAGATTTTCTGAGCACCCGTAGTCAAAAAGATACTGCGAGTGGCTACTGCCCAGGACGCGATTTGGATTCTTGGATGGTGAATACGACTAATATATTAGGAATGGCCATTCCATTCTCCCTTGTCTTTGTCGGCAATGTCTGTCGGTTAAGTTTGTCCACCTGCGCGGTCGCAAACTGCGTTTCTACGTGTCTCGCATTCTATATTACTGAATTGATCAGGCCACGTTGGCATAACCTTTTCTAGACAATGGGCACTTGGGACCCCGTCACCATATCTTTTCACTAAAGCTGAATAATGTTGCTATGTCAGATTGGAAGTGCTTCATCTAGGACGCATACCACGCTTTTGCTGTCACCGAAGCATAGTCAGGGACCTTGAAGGGTTATGCGCTGTTTGGACGTCAGGCGTTCACATATCCTGCCACCCAAACATGCTTATGTTGTTGCTTGACACGAAGTTGTTGCTCTTGAAACAGTTGAGTGAGAGGTTCGACCAGCGTGTGCCTTTCGAAAAGCTCATTGAGCCCAGCCTTGGCGGACGGCGGTAACATAAGGCGTTTGTCCGTCTATTTCTCACAATTTATGGTATTGGCCTGTCAAAAACCGTGAGGGTTTCATCTCTTTCACCGTCCTGGTAGGTTTTCTCACACGTAGTGCACGTAGTAAGTGCTACATGAGACGCAGTGGATGAAAAAGGAAGGCATTGCAATTATTAGGTGGGCTTTCGTTTAAAATTGGATGGACGACGTGGTGTCCTGGGAGGCTACCGGGGTAGCGGTTCTGATGTCTGAGTCAGCATTGTTAACATTTTGCCACGCGCTTTATGTTTGCTTCGGTAGAATTACACCGG